AATGGACAGAATTAGAAAACATTATCTTGAGTGAGCTAACCCAGACCCAAAGAAACGAATATGGTATATACTCACTCATAGTGGATACTAGTCATAAACAAAGGGCAACGAGCCTATAGTTCAGGATCCTAGAGAAAATAAGAAATAAGTTGAAACTAAAGAAATATATATATATATATATATATATATATATATATATATATATACCCACGTGGAAATTAGAATCAGATAAAAATTTGGGAACAGGGGGGCAGGGATAGAAGGAAGGGGAGAAGGGGGGTTGAGGAGAACTTGAGGGAATGGGATAGTCAAGATGGAGGAAGGATAGATATGAGAGCAATGAAAGAGGTATCTTGATTGAGGGAGCCATTATGGAGTTAGCAAGAAACCTGGCTCTAGAAAAATGCCCAAGAACCCACAGGGATGACCCCAGCTAAGACCCTAAGCAATAGAGGAGAGGGTGTCTGAACTGACCTTACCCTCTAGACAGACTGATGATTATCTTAAATATCACCATAGAAACGTTATCAAACAACAGATGGGAACAGAGGCAATGACCTACATCAGAACACTGGACTGAGCTCCTAAGACCCAGAAGAGTGAGAGGAGTGAGAGTATGAGCAAGGAATTCAAGACCATGAGGGGTCCATCCACTGAGAGAGTTTGCTTGAGCTAATGAATGGGAGCTCACCAACTCCAACTGGACTGGGAGGGAACGAGCATGGGAACAACCAAACCCCTCTGAAGGGGGTTGACAGCTGAGGCAGACTGAGGGGCCACTGATAGTGACATTGGGGTGTGACTCTACTTACATATACCGGCTTCATGAGATCCTATTCTCTTTGGATGTAAACCTTGCTCAACCTAGATGAAGTAGGAAGGGCCTCGGACTTTCTACAGGGTGGGATGCATGGCACTTCCTTAGGTTTAGAGGGGTGGGAGGAGAGTCTGTGGGGGGAGAGGGAGGAGACTGGGAGGAAGGGAGGGAGTGGGAATTTGGATTGGTATTTTTTTAAGTAATAATAAAAAAAAAAGAATGTCCCCCATCGGCTCAAATGTTTTAATGCTTGATCTTATGTTAGTGGGTGATGTGGGGGATGATATATGTTGTGAATATGGTTTATTGCCATTGGTTAATAAAGAAGCTGCTTTCAGCCAATGGCTTAACAGAGTAAAGCCAGGCTGAAAGATATATATATATATATATATATATATATATATATATATATATATATATAGAGAGAGAGAGAGAGAGAGAGAGAGAGAGAGAGAGAATATGCCAGTCAGGGAGAAGCCATGTAGCCACCACCAGGGACAGATGCCTCCTCTGGAGCCCACCCAAATTTTGACAGTAGGTCATGATCTTGTGGTGATGCACAGGTTAATGGAAATGGGTTAATTTTGGATATAAGAGCAAGATAGAAATATGCTTAAGCTATTGGCCAAACAGTATTGCAAATAATAGGGTGTTTGTGTGATTATTTTAAGTCTGGGTGTCCAGAAACAAACTAGCCGCCTCTGACTACAGAATTGTTTTGGCAGGATTGGGAGATGTGGCCTTGTTGCATGAGGTTATTTCATAAGCCCCCATTATTCCCAGTTATCTCTCTCTGCTTTATGGCTGTTATCGTAACATGTAACCTCTCAGGTACTGCTTAGCATTATGCCTGATTACCTGCTGCCATACTCACCACCATGATAGTGTTTTTGGACTAACTAACCCTCGGGAATCATGATCCCAAATTAGATGTTTTATATATAAGTTGCTTAAACCATGGTGTTTTGTCACAACAATAGAAAAGAAACTAAGATGGTTACCATGGCTGCTTTAAAATATTTAAATTAGTCAAATATTTCAAAGCTTTATTAACAGAAATAAATTTTTCTTAAATGATATCAACTCCTATATAGTTTAATTTTATTAAATCTTACTCATATCTCAATGTTACAAAGAGTGTTACAAAGTGTTTGCATTAGAGCTAGATGGAACAATTGCTATGTTCCATGCTTTATAGAACTAATGAAGAATAGTAAAGCTAATCTTTGAATTTTCTATTCAAATTTTAATTTGTTAATATAAATATATTATCTTTACAAAAAATGAACAGAAAATTCAAATATGCATTTATAATAATAAATAAGGAAATACATGATCAATGTAATTATAGCACAAAAAGTTCATTTTTTATTCTTTCTGTTTTTATTTTTATTGTCATTTTTTAATTTTCAAAACAGGGTTTCCTTAGAAATGCTGGAACTGATTTTGTAGATCTGGTTGGTGTTGAACTCACAGAGATCGCCCTGTGTCTGCTTCTTAGAATTAAATATGTGCCACCACACCCCGATAAAGCTCAATTTTCAAATGAATTTGTTTTGTATGGATTTTATGTGTGATATGTAGTATAAGAACACTGATTCACTTCATTAAATATTTGTATCTGGATTTAGGACTTTGACTTCAGCATATTCATGTGTGTTGTGAATGGTATTAAAGATTAAACCTAGGACTTGCACATGCTAGAAAAGTTCTATACCTCTGTGCTTTTACAGCTCTAGTTTTCTTTTTACTTTTCATTTCAAGACAGAAACTCAATAATTTCCCCACAATAACCTTTAACTTTCTCCTAGTTTTAGTTTTTAAAGGATTTTAATTTTTTTATATGTTGGGTGTTTTGCTTTCAAATATGTATTCTTGTGCATTTTGTGACTCTTTCAGCCAGAAGATGGTATCATATCCCTTGGTGCTAGAGTTACAAACAGTTATTAGCTGCTATATGGGTGCTGAAAAACAGAACGCAGTTTCTCTACAAGAACAACATATGTTCTTAATTACTGAGCTATCTATCACTTTAGCCCCTTATCTTATTTTGTAAACATTTTCCATTATATTTGATATTGAAAATGTGTCTGTTGATGTCTTCACTATTTTAATGGTTATTGTGAAAAATCTAAGCCTTTATAAATACTGAGGAGTATAGTTTTTTTTTCTCTCTTTACTGCTTGGGGGTCAGTCACCCAGCTCCCAAATAAATACTTGGAGACTTATTCTTACTTATGAATGCCAGGTCTTAGCTTGGTTTATTTCTAGATTTAATTTTACTTAAATTATCCCATTTGCCATTTTCCTGTCTGCTTTTACCATTCTCTATTCTATACATCTTTGTTTCCTTATAACTCAATGACAGTGTGGCTGGGCAGCTGGCCCCCATGATATCTCCCTTCCTTCTCATTTTATTTTGCTTCTCCTTTTCCCTCCTCCTCTTTATTCTCTCTGCCTTCCAGCTCCAACTATTTCTTTCTCCTGCCTAGCTTTTTCAGACCAATCAATTGTTTTAGGCAGCAAAGAAACACAATTTCATGGAGTTAAACAAATGTAGTATAAAATAATGCAGCACATCTTTCCATCATTAAACAAATATTCCACAGCATAGAAGAATGTAACACATCTTTAACTAATTCGCCAGAACAGCAAAAGATCTGGAAGGAATCAGGAGAGGGTAATAAACATGATAAAAAATATTTTGTTTCAAAATGTAAATAAGGAGCAGAAGGAGAGAGAGCACGAGCAAGGAACTCAGGACCGCGAGGGGTGCACCCACACACTGAGACAATGGGGATGTTCTATGGGGAACTCACCAAGGCCAGCTGGCCTGGGTCTGAAAAAGCACGGGATAAAACTGGACTTGCTGAACATAGTGGACAATGAGGACTACTGAGAACTCAAGAACAATGGCAATGAGTTATTGATCCTTCAGCACGTACTGGCTTTGTGGGAGCCTAGGCAGTTTGGATGCTCACCTTATTAGACCTGGATGGAGGTGGGTGGTCCTTGGACTTCCCACAGGTCAGGGAACCCTGATTGCTCTTAGAGCTGATGAGGGAGGGGGACGTGGTGTGGGGAGGGGGAGGGAAATGGTAGGCGGTGGCGGGGAGGAGGCAGAAATCTTTAATTAATAAATAAATTTTTTAAAAAGGGAAAAATTAATTCTTCTCTTTTAATTTTTAAATTGTTCTGTTTTACTTTTTAACTGTTCATGAAAATTGGATAGAAAAAAACCAATTATAAATATATTTTGTTATATAACATTAAATATATATTTGCTATTATCCAAATACATAGTACTTTGAGCATATCTCTACTATTTCCTGCTATTCTCCCCTTTCTTGCCCTCTCATCTGCTATTCCTTCTTTTTGTTCTCCTGGTCATTTTTTCTTTTACTTTCAAGTCACATGTACATAAATTATTTTATATATTCATATAAAGTATAATTCTTACAAGTGATATTTATTCTTGTGAGATTGATTTAATCAACAATTGCATACACTTTGTTTAAACTTACATAATATGATTCTTCTTTATGGCTAAAATTTATATGTATGTATGTATAGATAGATAGATAGATAACAATTATATTAATTTTTTTCATCCATTCTTATACCAATAGCCACTTTTTTCAAGGCTTCCTTCCCTATCATGAATAATGTTGCAATAAACCTAGGTGTGCTAGAACCTCTAATATGCATTAATATGAAGTCATTAAAACAAACTTGTCAACAAATGACTGAATGAAATGAGAAGCTGATGTGGGAGTGTCATATATCAATCTGTTGATTTCATTGGTTAAGCAATAAAGAAACTGCTTTGGCTTTGATAGGTTAAAACATAGGAGGGAGGAGTAAACAGAACAGAATGCTGGGAAAAGAATCTAAGTCAATGAGTCGCCATGATTCTCCCACTCCAGGCAGACGCAGGTTAAGATCATTCCTGGTAAGCCAGCTCATGGGCTACACAGATTATAAGAAATGGGCTAGTCCAGGTGCGAGAGTTAGCCGAGAAAAGGCTAGATATAATGGGCCAAGCGGTGTTTAAAAGAATACAGTTTCTGAGTAATTATTTCGGGGCATAAGCTAGAGCTAGCCATGTGGGCAGCCGGGTGCCAGGGACGCAGCCCACCGCTCCTATTTCAACAAGAAGCTATTTCTTAAAACATAAAGTATGGTGCTCACTTCAGCATCACCTATACTAAAATCAGAATGATGTAAAAAGATTAGTATGGTCCCTGAACAAAGATGACACATAAATTTGTGAAGTGTTCCGTAGTTTTTCTAAGAGGAGTCCCAGTGAGGTCCCAGCATCAGTAGTTTAGCAGAAACCAGAGGCCTCAAACCAGACCAATGACTCTTTGCAAATAACACTTGCACACAAAGACATATGGGTAAACGAGGATAATGCATGACTCACTATGTCACACTACAGCTTTCATGATTAGTCTTTCTGTTTTTTTTCTTTTTTCTCTTAAATTTTATTTTATTTCGTGTGTGTGAGTTTACAATGGCAATGAGGAAATATGAAGGGACAAGAAATAATTGGGGTTGAGATGCATGATGTAAAACAAAAAGGATAAGTAAAAAGAACGTTTAAAAAAGCATCATGTTTTTACAAATGGGCAATTAATATGTGAAAAATGTCCAACATCAATAATTATCAAAGAAATTCAAATTAAAATGATATTGTAATTCTATCTCATTCTACACATAATGACAGTCATTAAGAAACCAATTAAGTAATAGTGAGGATTTGAAAAAAAGGAAATTCTTATGCACACCTGGTAGGATGTAAACTAGTACATTCATTATGGAAATCAGTAGGGACACTCCTCATAAGACTAAAACAGTATCACATGAATATATCACACGGTCCAGCAGTATTAATCCTGGCATTTTCCCAGTAATCATTTTCCCTTTTTTTTAGGCTCAAGTTTTTATAGGATATAATATAGAATTGGTTCAAAACAAATAATTCAGGGTTTGAAAATTAAGTTAATAAAGTGCTGTTCAAAATATTTCGCATACTGACTCTTATTGCTAACAAGAACAACATTTTTCAGACCATTTTTGAACATTGATTTCAAGTACCCATTTCTTTATCTTCTGTAGCTTAATAAACCAAAAATCATTTCTTTATTTGCTTGCAAAGAAAGTTCATTCTCTTCCCTTCCATGCTCATTGCTAGAATGGTAGTCAAAATATTTCCCCCCTATGACAAGGAAAATTCAAAACATTAATTTCTGCCATATCTCATATTTGAAGAGTTATTTTTGTTGGTGAATTGAGTTGGATCCATGGAACTCATGGAAAGGTAGAAGGGGAGAACCCACTCCATAAAAGTTGGTCTATGATTTTCTCAAGGTAATATATACACAAAATCCATCTCTCTTTCCCTTTCTGTGGTGTGGAGAATTGTCTGTATTTTGTCAATCATGTTTTAAATGAACACTGATTGGCTAGTAGCCAGGCAAGAAGCATAGGTGGGACAACCAGACAGGAAGTAGAGGTAGGGTAATGAGTACAGGAGTATTCTGGAAAGAAGGAAGGTCTTCCCACAGTTCTGTCCAGACACTGAAGAAGCAGGATGTGACCTGCCCTGATGAAAAGGGTACTGAGCCATGTGGCTAACATAGATAAGAATAATGGGCTAATATAAATTATAAGAGCTAATATGAAGCCTGAGATAATGGGCCAATCAGTTTATAACTGATGTAGACCTCTCTGTGTGATTTTCCTTGGGACTTAATGAATACAGGAACTGGGCAGGACAGAAACCCCAACAAGCAGGCCCTCATGTTACATTCCTCTGTGTTTTTTCACATACAATAATAATAATAATAAATAATATTTTGAAAGAAGAAAACATAATGATACATATATGAAAATGGTTATATATCATAGAAAAATAATACTTTGTATGCCAGCAAAAATCAATTTAACATATACTAATTTTTATGTAAAAAGTATTTTTATTATGGTAAAATATGTCCTGAGCAGCATTTATTTACATGGAGAGTTTAAAAAAACTGACTTGTGATTATTTGCCTTGTCCTCAATTAGAGACATGATTACACACATTCCTAGTAGTTTCTGAAGCAGATCTGTCACATCCCATCACAGAAGAAAGTACAGGATGGACAGTGTTCTCTTCTGAACTTACATCTTTAGAACGGTTGGAATGCTTTTCCCTGAGTACGTCAGGTGGAAGCCTCTGTTAATTTGGTCGAAGGATAGAGTGTCAGTTACACATTCATCGACTTTTATCTCTTTTGACATATATTCAGACACCAGCTTTGGGACACTCTCTACACTCTTCCATCCTCCAAGGAGTGCCTTTCCACGTGCATCCTGTCACCAACTGGAATTGGTGAGTGGAGACTTCTTCACCTGAAGCAGCTATGCCAACCACCACACTAACTCCCCAGCCTTTGTGCGCCACCTTGAGGCTGCTCTCATGAACTTCACGTTGCCGAAGCACCCCAAAGAGTAATCTACTCCCCCATCTGTCATCTCAGTGAGTACTTCCTGGATGGGTTTACTGAAATCCTGGGGGTTAGTACATTCAGAGGCTACAAATTCTTTGGCCTTTGCGAATTTATCTTTATTGATGTCAATACCAATGATCCGGGATGCACCAGCTACTTTACAGCCCATGATCACTGCCAATCCAACTCCTCCCAGGCCAAAGACGGCACAGGTAAAACCAGGTTCCACCTTGGCAGTGTTCACAGCAACACCATAGACAGTTAAAGTGCCATGCCCGAGAAGGCAGACTTTATCCAAAGGTGCTGAAGGATCAATTTTAGTAACGGAGATGTCAGCCACAACTGTGTACTCAAAAAATGTGCTGGTTCCCATGAAGTGAAAAATAGACTTTCTTTGCAGGTAAATATACTAGTGCCATCTGGCATTAATCCTTTCCTCTGAGTGACTCATATCTTCTGGCAAAGGTTTGTTTTGGGATTCACACAAAATTTGCATTCTCCACATTGTGGGATGTAAAGTGGGATGACAGTGTAACCTGCCTTCACCTTAGTTACCCCTTCACCCATGCTTTCCACAATCCCTGCCCCTTCATGTCCCAAAATCACTGGGAAACACCCGTCAGGATCAGTTCCACTCAGAGTATAGGCATCTGTGTACAAACGGCGGTGGCAATGATCTTAATACGAACTTCATGAGCCTTGGGAGGTGCTACTTCGATTTCTTCTATGGAGAGAGGCTTTCCAATTTCTGAGGTGACTGCAGCCTTGCATCTGATCACCTGATTCACCATGTCCGCAAGTTGGGGTTCCTGAGCTGAATTTCAAGCAACAAGTCTAGAGGATCCCAGTATGGGCTGGTCATGCATGAGGGGCAGGGCTGAGTGCAGGGGCGGAGCTATGATACAGACGCGGTGTGAGGGGCGGGGCTGAGTGTGGGGGCGGGGCTATGATGCAGAGGTGGCGTGAATAGGTTCCTTTTTTTTAAAAGTGTGTAGCCCAGGCTGGCCTCAAACTTGTGATCCTCCTGCCTCTGCCTTCTTCAGCAAATCCTACCGGCATGCACTACCACAACCAGTACTAAAATATTTTTTTTTGATTTGGAAGTATTTTATTGAGGACTTTTGTTTACATCAAGGATATTGGTATGTAGCTTTCTTTGTTGCTGTTCTTGTGTCTTTATCTGTTTTTGTTATTAAAGTAATACTTTATACAAGAAGTTTGTAAGTGCTCCTTCTGTTTTTATTTTTTTTAGTTTCTTTTTTTTTATTTACTTATTAAAGATTTCTGCCTCCTCCCCGCCACTGATCAGAAGCAGATGGAGAGAGAGCACGAGCAAGGAACTCAGGACAGCGAGGGGTGCACCCACACACTGAGACAATGGGGATGTTCTATGGGGAACTCACCAAGGCCAGCTGGCCTGGGTCTGAAAAAGCACGGGATAAAACCGAACTTGCTGAACATAGTGGACAATGAGGACTACTGAGAACTCAAGAACAATGGCAATGGGTTATTGATCCTACTGCACGTACTGGCTTTGTGGGAGCCTAGGCAGTATGGATGCTCACCTTACTAGACCTGGATGGAGGTGGGTGGTCCTTGGACTTCCCACAGGTCAGGGAAACCAGATTGCTCTTTGGGCTGACGAGGGAAGAGGACTTGGTGGGGGGAGGGGGAGGGAAAAGGGAGGCAGTGGTGGGGAGGAGGCAGAAATCTTTAATGAATAAAATATATTTTTTTTTTTGATTTTTCGAGACAGGGTTTCTCCGTAGCTTTTGGTTCCTGTCCTGGAACTAGCTCTTGTAGACCAGGCTGGCCTCGAACTCACAGAGATCCGCCTGCCTCTGCCTCCCGAATAAAATATTTTTTTTAAAATCCAAAAAGCAAAAGTTATTGAATTAATCTTGTTTCTCACATATTTATAGAACTTAAAATAGTATAAATCTAAGTGGGTTTGCATAAATTCAAGAAGAATTAGAAAAACTTCCTTTGAAACAGTATCTTCCTATATAGCCAGGCGGGCCTTGAACTCAAGACATGGTCTCCTCTCCTAAGTACCTGGTCAAATGTTACTATTTTTAGTTGTGCATTGATGCACACTTCATGCATATCTTCGGTGCAATTTAATTGTTTGTTTTGCATGTGAAAAAGCTGGAAGAACACGACGGTTGTAAGAAACCAAATCTGAATGAGGATCAGATATGAAAAAAAAATGCTTATTTTAATTTTTTCTTTATTTAGGCTACTTCATGTCTGTTTTTTATCTAAAAACCAAGAGTAATTTCAGATGAATACTGAATGTGTCATATCATCAAGTCTCATGAGACCATGCTTTCTTTGACCTTGCAAGTGAGAGGTGAGTATGACTTTTGTAGAAAATAATTAAGAATTTACTGAAGTTAAGCTGGATATATCAATTGGCAAAAGATAAAATGTTACTTGTTCTTCAATGAGATGGAAAGTGAACTAAAATAGAATGTCTACAGAGGAAACTTTTTTTTACTTTTTCCATTGGTTTTGGGCTTAAGCACTCCACCTGGAATACACCTGCTAGCAGGACACTCTGATGAATGGGAAGATGAGTGTTAGCTGGCTCAGAGTAAAGAATTACGAAAGCAAAATTATTTTCATAGTCTTTGTTTGGTTTATGGTGATAATGAGATTTCTGTTCTCTATCATTTGAAAAGATTATTAGATTTCATGGAGCAACTTTCATCTGCATTTATTTTTCTTTGCCTTAGCCTTTCTGAAAAGGTAAAATCCTATCATTCTCAGAAGCAGTTTGCATTTATTTT